GGGTGACTTCAAAAAGAAATAGACTCATTACCTGACTTATGTAACTGTAACCCCTCTGTACATCACCTGTACAATAATAATTTGAGAGAGAGAAAACATAATTATGCCCCACTCATCTCTACCCATTGTTCCCAGGGAAATTCCTGAAAGCAAATGTCTACCTCAGCTTTTCTCCAATAACCACCCACCTACTCCCAAGATAACCTAAACAAAATCAACACAAAGCCATTGACATTTTTCTGCTGTCAATTTCAGTGGGTAATTAATTTATTGAAGAAACTAAGATTTACAGACAGAGCAAAGTTAAATTGGCCGCCTCAAATATTTCAATAAAACATAGACACCATATACACATGTACACACATATGTACCACAGAGTGTATGTTACAGCACCACAAGACAATGTAATTGCCTGTGGCACTTAACTTTCTAAATACGACATAGCTGGGTAGGGTGTTCTGAGAGAACAGACTTCAAATATATTGTTCGTAATGTTTAGAGACTAAGGAAAGGCTCAAAGAATTCACGAGATGATATTAGCATTGCTATTGTTACAATCGTTATTATTACTATAAATCAAAGCTTACATTTAAAAGAGTTTCAAGTGTCATCATTGGAACTGAGATGTTTAAAATCAGAGTAAGCCATTTATACAGTTAACATCTCTGACAATATAGAGGAACATTGTGTGTTTGAAAAATGTTGAGAATTCCACCCTACTAAGAAACTATTATTAGAATGAATAAGATGTTGAATGAATGAATAGAGGCTGAAGTTTTGTTAAAGCTAGGAGAGGAGACAAAAAGAACAGAACATCACATTTAAAGATATATATATATATATATATATATGGTAAAGAGGCATTTTGTAAGGAATAATACAAAAGAAAAGTGGAGAAGTTTTGCCCAACTATATAGTGAACTATTCTTCACTATTGACTTTATTTTTGTAGAAAAATAAGTTGTTTTGAAAATTAGAAGAAAATATTTCAGTGAAGAGCAAAGAGTAACCATGGTATAAATATATTTTGCTTCATCACTTTTAAATATCAACAAAAATCAGAACAAAGTTTCTGCTATGTTTTTAAAAACAAGTGATCTAGTAAAAAGTCTATTAGTGTCTCTCAAATTACTGTATGTTAGAATCACCCAGGAAATACACTGCTCTTTGATGCCATGGGGCATAGTAAATTTTCGAGGCTATAGTCTCTGTCGACCAGAACATGCTGCAAAGCAATATGGCCAAACATCATTGACACTCTTATTCCATGTTAAGTTTACAAATGAGGCTATGCCATTTCCTTCCTATGCAAATACATCTTCCCTATAATTAATCATTCTTTGTCATCTATTTCCTTGAAGGTTGCTTTCTAGAATAATTATCTTCCATCTCTCCATCATCCAATGAGATTTTCATCTCCATGGCTTTATACTCTTCTCTCTTTGTTAAGGAAAAGTGTGTGTGTGTGTGTGTGTGTGTGTGGTGTGCATATGAATGCATATGAACAGGTGGGTTGGGAGATGCATAATGTTGTTTTGTTAGAAAATTCTCTATCTCATCTGATTCAACCTTGGATATAGTTATCAAGACTCAATAATCTCTATTGAATTGAAATCAAAGACTTGTTAGCCTAGCAATAAAGACTTATTTCTCATAAAAATAAAAAACATCCTCATAATTCACCCTGCTATGGGCTGGGAAGGTAGCTCAGTGTTAGAGCACTTGCCTTGCATGCATGAGGCCCTGGGTTTGATTCCTCAGCACCACATAAGCAGAAAAAAAAGCCAGAAGTGGTGCTATGGATCAAGTGGTAGCGTGCTAGCCTTGAGCTGAAGAGCTGAGGGACAGCACCCAGGCCCGGAGTTCAGGCCCCACAACCAGACCCCCCCCTCAAAAAAATTCACCCTGCTAACCAACTTCATTCTATATGATATATATTCTTACTTTACTGGCTCTATGGAGTCAGTTTCTCTTAATGGACTTAAGAAACATTCTACAAGGATTACAGTTGCTCTCCTGCATGTATATTCAGTACAGACTTTGACAAAAATAAGTCTTTTATTTTCGTATATAAAAGAATGTAATAATTTGCCCAGGATTGTTGAAAAACCTTGAAAAAACCTTCACTTTGCCTTGCCTGTCAGATAGATAAGTAATTTATTCTTCATGAAAAACTGGACTCAAGTTCAATGCAAGTAGGAGGGATGAGCATTCCTCCTGAAGACGAAACCTAACCACCTAGAGAATTAAAAGATAGGGGTTAAGATATGTAAACATAATAGACAAATTCTGTAAGCAAGGGAGGTGTTTAGTCTTTGCTGTACTTTGGGAAAGACTTAGCTGTCTTTCTATGTTCTTTACCTCTTGTTTATCTTTATAGAACTCCAGATAGAGGAGTTAAATACGACCAAAGTATATTATATGCATATGTGGATATGTTGTAAAAATCACCTTACTTCTATAATTGATATAAATTAATAAAATAAAAATAACTTGGTCCACATAAAAAAGAACTCCATATATTAATGAATTTTGGACAGTTAACCAAGAGCAACTTCATTTAAGTACATGTAGTAAAGAGGAAAGATCCACATATCTTGCTTCATATGACTATGCTTTTTTGCATAGATAATGTCATGTCAGTCAACTGAGAAGAGTTGGAATCTGGCTATCAAAATCAATCATTTGGCAGGGTACCAGTGTCTCATGCCTGTAATCCTAGCTACTCAGGAGACTGAGATCTGAGGATCGTGGTTCAAAGCCAGCCTGTGGGCCTAGGAAAGTGGCTCAGTGGTAGAGTGCTTGCCTCACATGCATGAGGCCCTGGGTTCAATTTCTCAGCACCACATAAACAGAAAAGGCCAGAAGTAGCACTCTGACTCAAGTGGTAAAGCTCTAGCCTTGAGCTGAAGAGCTCAGGGACAGCGCCCAGGCCTAGAGTTTAAGACCCACGATTGAAAAAAAAAAACCCAACAACCAACAACAACAATAAAAAAACAACAAAGCCAGCCTGTGCCAGAAAGTCTGTGAGACTCTTATCTCCAATAAACCACCAGAAAACTGGAAGTGGTGCTATGGCTCAAGTGGTAGAGCGCTAGCCTTGAGCTGAAGTGCTCAGGGACAGCACCAGGGCTCAGAGTTCAAGTTCCATGACCAACCTGCCCCCCCTCTCCAAATCAATCATTTAATAAGGCCAACATAATTCAGAACTCATTCCTATTTCTTCTCCAACTTAACAATATTCTTTTAGTTTTAACCAGTCACAAGGAACTTCATCACTCTGAGTCTTAAACCGATGTACCTACTAGGGGGATTATAATGTATAAAAAAGATTTCCATGCTGATCACCTTTTCCTCATACAAGCTTTGAGCATCAGGGTGTACTGCTCTGTCTAACACTGGGGGTTGAATTTCTGTCTCAGTGCACAGCATGAAAGCTTGGGCCCATCTGTGTCACACAAAGCCAAACCTCTCTTGAAGTGATTTGTTTATAGTGTCATTTGATGGAGTGGAATGTTCTGTAACTCATTCGAACTGTTACAGAAGCTTGGCTAAAAGGTCACCACTGCTCTTTAGAGTTTCCAAGTCTGGGCACCATCTGGGAGCTTGTTAAAGATAAGGTTTTCCTTGGCTTTTTCCATACCAACTAGAACCAATTAGCAAAGTCCTAATTTTTCTGAGAAGTTTGCATTCATACTGTGTGTGTGCACATGTCTGTGTGTGTGTGTGTGTGTGTGTGAGAGAGAGAGAGAGAGAGAGTCAGAGAGAGAGAGAGAGAGGGAGGGAGGGAGAGAGACAGAAAGAGACAGGTAGAGAAACAGAGATAGAGAGAGAGAAAGAGAAGTGACAGAGCAAGAGAGAAACAAGTCATAGAGATGTGAGAGAATTAGAGTTAATTGTCCCAAGGCATGTGAGTCCAGTCTTTGCCAATTCTAAATAAATGTATTATTTAAATAAAATTTAAATAAAATTATTTAAATAAAATGCAGTATTCAAAGTAACAGTATTACCTAACAGACCCAAATGGCATGACAATCTTAAAAGCGACGGAATCTGCTTCAAATGTCCTTGAATCAATACCTTCTTCAAGTGTAATCTAGGGAGTTTGTTCTAAAGGGAAATCGAATCTTTCTTTTTACTCAGAATTCAATAGAAACTTGGCAACCTATTCCTTAAAGTAATAAAAACTTCCTATGCTAAATTTTCACTCTGCGTGGCATCTACATATTTTGAGCTGTTTTTATTTTATCATTTCAGATCTGTGTTTTCTTTCAGTCCCCTTCCTTATGGAACAAAATTCTTGAATTTTCCAAACCTCAAAAGTTCAGTTGTAAAACCGTAGTAGAACAGCAAGAGGAAGAAGAAAATTTCCTCCAACGATGTCTCTAGCTGCTGCTGGCCAGTTCTGCTCACTCCCTACAAACACTAACTGTGTCTTTTGACACTTGGCTTTGGGAAAAGTCCAAATGTGGCAAATGGTAGAGGCAACATTTCTTTACCCTCCTGCCTGGAACTTCCCATGGTACCGATGAACTATAGCTGCTACTTTATAGATGGAGCAAAGAAGTCAGCAACTCTCTACTACCCTCATCCATGTGTGCAAATGAAATCAGTAAACACATTGTAAGATTACTGAATTGGAAATCAAAATCCTTTCATTTGGTTGGAACCCTTAAAAGGGTCTGGGCCAAAAAAGGCTGTACAGTAGCAGCGAAAAAACAGGCTTACTGCCATAAAAATATTTTAAGAATAGTGTGTGTGTGTGTGTGTGTGTGTGTGTGTGTGTGTATTTCCAGCAGACATTTGAGAGAGGAGAAATTTAAACATGTAACTATGTTTTTGTTTCTGAAGTTGCAAGAAACATTAAATGCACAACAACCACTCCCTCAGTTCAATTAAGTTGGCCTGGAAAACAAGAGAAATCTGTTCATATTCCTTCGGAATCAAGTGGGGAGGTCTTTCCTGCAAGGTTTTCATATTTCTATTGAGGACCAGGAACCTTAATCTTCAAGTTCAAAGCTCATCTCCTCACAGCTCTCCTCCTCATCAAAGCTTGTCCCATTGGTGAGTGCAGAGTGCTTTAGCTTATTTTGCCGGGAATATTTCACGTTCAGGAGATCACCCAGTTCATCAACAGCTTCCAACACCTGTAATGACATTCCATAAGTTGTCTTTAAACTCCTAAGTTAATGGCAAACTTCATAAAGACCCAGAGTCTTATTTTGGCAGTTAAAAAAAATTAAAGTAGAGGAGAAAGATTAAAAAAATTATCAGATTTATAAGACCTAGAGGGATGTTAGATGGTCATGCTGTGTGTGTGTGTGTGTGTGTGTGTGTGTGTGTGTAACATTTTGATCGTTTTTCTCCTTGAAACTGTCTTTATATGCTCAACACCATGCTGGTGTCTTTCTTTTCTGAGCTCCTTAGCTCTACACAAGTCAGTTCTCACATCCCAGGATGTGAGCATTCCACAGGAGTCATGCTCAGTCCTAACTGCTCTCACTGGCTTTTTAGACAATTATATCTTCTTCCATTGGCCTCTTCTTTCAGTTGCCCAAACGACAGCAGCTCAGCCCCTCATGTTCTTCTGAATGCTAACATGATTTTTTCCCCTCTTCTCTTGAATTCATGGCACACGGACATGTAATCTCACAGTCCAGAACTGAGCGCACCCTCGTCTCCCTCTCCCATGTGAGATTCATTGACCCTCACTGTTTGTAGGTCTCATCTAACTGCTTGCCATCCTTCTACTCAGCAGGTTAGAGATCTCAGATTTCCTTGTGTTTTGCCTTCCACATGTATACCCTCTATCTAATTATTTGTCAGATTTTGGCAACTCATATATTTGTCATGTCTGTCTGCTTCTAGATTTCTTTCCTTTTGTTGCTGATGCCATTGGCTTGGTCACCTCTGATTTTATGCAAATAATTCCATTTAGGTCTTGCTTCTCACCCATATATCCCATTTATCTTATAGTGATATGATTACATTGCTCCACTGATCATAAACTTCAACGGGTGCCCCATTATATTTATTTAATTTTAAAAGGTCGAGTTAAAAAGTCATTTTCCTTGCAACTCTGTCCCTTGATAGTTGCTGATTTCCACCTTCAACTTCCCACAGTGTTCTGGTTACTGATTTCCACCTTCAACTTCCCCCAGGGTTCTGTATTTTCTTTTCATGACTAATTTATTCTGTCTGGTATTTACTATTATCTTCTCCTGGATTTTTCATCTTTTTTTTTTGTTGGTCGTGGGGCTTGAACTCTGGGCCTGGGCACTGTCCCTTAGCTCTTCAGCTCAAGGTTATACCACTTGAGCCACAGTGCCACTTGCAGTTTTTCTGGTGGTTTATTGGAGATTAGAGTCTCATGGACTTTGCTGCCTGGGCTGGCTTTGAACTGTGATCCTCAGATCTCAGCCTCCTGAGTCACTAGGATTATAGGTGTGAGTCACTCATGGTTAGCTTTCTCATTGTTTGCTCTAGGGTTTGCACATGGTAGAAAATGTTGTTAATAAAACTGCATCCATATTATAAGATAGCTCCACTAACCCCAGGTGATTGAGGTGGCTTAATTATTTAATGTGACTCACTCACATAACACTTACAAATCATGAAACAATCAAATGCAATTTTGGAAAGATATACACCTGACTTAAGTCTGGCTGATATGAAGATCTGTTCTTGTTGGTTTTCTAACATACTTCTGAATTGGGACATATTTAATTATGAAAATCCTCATAGATATGAAGCATACATGGCAATTAATACTAAGGATACTAAGATAACATATAAGATTAATTTTTATACTTCAGAATAAGTAAATAGCACAATATTTGGCAACATATCCATTTTTTTTCAGTGGTACAGGGGTTTGAATTCAGGGACTTGTACTTGCTGGACAAGTGCTCTACCACTTGAGCTAGGCTTCCAGCTCTTTTTGACTTTAGAGTATTTTTTGTAAAGTATATCATGCTTTCTTGGCCCATGCCAGTCTCTAACTTAGATCTTAATTCCTATGTCTCCTGCGTGTCTGGGTTTAGAGTCATGCATTATCAAATCTCGTTAATTGGTTGAGATCACATTTTACTAATGGTTTGTCTGGGGCTTGCCTTGGAACTATTATTCCACAATCTTTACTTTTGGAGTAGCTGGGATTACAGGTATGAGAGAGATATTGTCCCTAGCTACTCAATCTTTTCTATGAAACCCAAGTCCTGACCTAACTCTTCACTAAAATCATTTCCTTGTTTCCTTCTGAGCTCATCACCTGATTGGATAGTGTCAACATACTCTTGTTTCCTGAGCAGTAAGTGACTTTCATTTATCTTTAGTGCTGTTTCCTAAACTACACAAAAGAAATACAGAGATTCCCCAAAGCTTGCTGAAAAAATGAACAAAACAAAACAAAATTCTTGCTTAGAATCCAAGGTCCCAATAAGAGATTTTCTTGGGCTGTGGGGTTACTCACCTCATCTAATACCTCTCGGGTATGTAAAGCTGACAAGCAAAACCGTGCCCTTGCTTCTGCCATTGGAGTAGCTGGAAATCCAACGACAACAACCCCGATGTTTTTCTTTAACATAAGCCTTGCAAAAGCCCTTAGGGAAAGAGAGAGAAAGAGAGTTTAACTGAGAGAAAACAGAATTAATTATTGCACTGAAAAATAGGATTATGGCAAATGGACTCATTGTGTTGTTATTCTTTATTTTCTTTTGCTTTTGCTGGATCTGGGGCTTGAACTCTGGACTTGGGCTCTGGCCCTGAGGCTTTGTGCTCTACTACTTGAGGTACAATTTCACTTCTGGCTTTTTGGTAGTAGAGATAAGAGTTTCACAGACTTTCCTGCCTGGGCCAGTTTTGAACTGCAGTTCTCAGATCTCAGCCTCTTGGGTAGCTAGGATAACAAGTGTGAACCAACAGTGCCTGAGTAAACAACTGTTTATTCTTTTTATGATAGAAGATCATTAAAGTCACTAAACTCTATTAAATGCAGTAGACAAAGAAATGAGCAGTCACTCAATACCCCCTATTATTGAGTGTGTGGTATGATGGGGTGGATGCTGAGTCTTTGACATTGAGCAGGAAATACTAATAGTTGAATGTGGTTTAAGAGTTCTGCATTGACATAAACTTTCTCTTTTGTAGTCTTCCTAGAAATGAAAATAAAAAAGCTAACAGTATAACTATGAGATAAAACATACCTTAAATACAAATCTATAACAATGCTTGACAAGAAATGTATTCATTACTTTACTCATGTAACTGTAACCCCTCTGTACAGCATCTTCACAATAAAACAAAATCTACATGCTTATAAAATTTCATACTAGTAAATTCCAATCTGATGGAGGCAGAAAAAGAAATATGTATACGTAAGAGCAGCTTAGAGGCAGATACAGCTCATAGGACAGAAGTCATGTAACTATAAAGCTCCTTGATGCAAAGTAAAACCTTTATAAGTTACAATACCTTTCCTTTATCCTTCTAGCTTTTTACTTTACCAAAGGCTTAGCTTGGTAATGATTCCAGAATATTAAACTCAAGGTCTTTAAATGGCTTGTGCTGAGAATCAAGGTCAGATTAAAAAAAAGTATGTACCCCCAAGAGAGTCTTTTCCCCCTTTGGGCTCTGTTGGTCACTGCAGGAAACCTTAATTACTGAGTGGCTCTAGCCATAAGTGGAGTAAATGCCTCAGATCCGTTCTTAGCATTAGGAGGTTGCTGGTGTATTATTTTAGCCTGGGAGCTGACAGCACCACAGAAATCTTTTTCCAGTTATAACTCAGGAAGAATTTTGAACCAGCCGTCCGTTCATCCGTCTTGCTGTTTAGGCAGTCAGCCTTTGGGTTGCTTCATGCAGAACACAAGTTACCAAATGAAGCCGTGGAGACTGTAAGGTCTGTGGAACACACAGCTCTCCAGCCCGTGGCCCAGGCAAAAGCAAGATTTGCTTTGATTTCCACCAGGAAGGTTACAAGGCGATGAAGCTTTCTAGCTGAGAAAGCTTGAAAACAGGCGCTGTTCTTTTTTCCTTCTTGATCACACTATGGAAGGTTGCCCACGGAGCTGCACAGGATGAGAGCTCCAAATTGTCTGAGAGACAAGTCAAGTGCTTTTATTGCTACAGTCCAAACCACCTGACCCATGGTCTCAGGCAGATTTTCGGGGGGCTCCCCAAAGACTGTTTCCACTGTTTGCATGTTTCCCTTTGTACCAAAGGAAGTGAGTTTTGCCAAAGAATTCAGAGCAAAATACAGAACTTTGTTGATTCATTAGGTGAATCTGGGGCCTCCCAGGAGTATGTTTGAATTTAAAAGTTACACCACTACAGCTAACATCCCTCAGTTAACATGTATGATCTCATTGAACATTTCACATAATCAATCACTGTGTTTGTAAACCATCCCCCAAAGCAAATTAGAATTGGAAGAAGCTAGATGAAATTCAACTCTGTAAAATAAAAATAATATAACTGTTAGCATCATCCCTCACGTAAAGTCACCACATTTCGGCTACCACAAACTTCTTAGTGTCTGACAAGATTCATGGAAGAAAATAGAAGCCCTGAATCACATACTAACTCTAATATATTTTTGTTATGGTTGATAGCAGATTATACTGAACTCCACAGACAGTTCTAGTTCTTAGTGCTTTAACAGGACTTTGTTCAAAGGGATAATTGGCAGGACACTATCTTTGTTTTTGCATAGGTAAAAATACGGAGAAATTACAATTTTTAATTGCATCAAAAAATTTTTTGTGCCAGTACTGGGGCTTGAATTTAAGGCCTAGGCACTGTCTCTTAGCTTTTTTATTCAAGGCTAGAATACTATCACTTGAGTCACAGCTTCACTTACAACTTTTTGATGTTTTATTGAAGATAAGAGTCTCACAGATTTTTTTGCAGGAGCTAGCTTTGGACCATGATCCTCAGATCTCAGCCTCCCCAGTAGTTAGGACTACAGGTGTGAACCACCAGCAACTTAGGGAGAAACCACAATTTAAGCATAGGAATAATCAATGTTAGCTTCACCTAACAATCTTAAGTTGGAAGGATGATTATCATACACATCATCAGTGCCTAATGCAGTCCTCTTGGCACAGTGTATGACAAGATCCTTTACTCCTACTTTTCTGGGAGTTCTGTTTTGTTTTTTTTTTAAATTAATGTTCCCAACAATTGCAATAATTGACTTTGGAGAATCATGCAACTATTGACTACAACCTTGTACTCAGTTGTAAGTAATAACAATGACAGTGGCGGATAATTCATAGTACTAATAATGATCTGAACTTAGTTAAGTGCTTCATATACATTATTAGTACTAATAATAAGACCACTAATACTGAGTAGCTTTCATATAAAGCAATATGCCGGAGGCTGTAGAGACTTTATTCTGTTTGATCTCCTTGATGATTTTAGGAAGTTGGCATTATTATTTTCCTTTTTATACATGAGAACATGAGAGTTGTGGAAGATTGAACTACTTGTTCAAGTTTTCCTAGATAGCGACAGGCTAATTCAAAATTTTTTTTTTGATACTCAACCTCTCAATGAACTGTAGAGCACAGCTTTTCCATGAAATATATTGTATTAGTGAATTCTTGTATTGAAAGAAATTTGAAATTCTAGTCTATTACTGCAGAGTAAGGAGACTATAGGAGAAAGTTATGTAATGGGTATCTAGAAAAGATAGAAGAGCTGGATGTGGTAGCTCATGACTATAATCATAGCTAGTTGGGAGGTAAAGATTGGGTAGGATTGGAGTTTGGGGCTAGTCTGGGTACAAAAAAATTAACTAAATAAAAAGAAATCTAGAAGAAAGAATTCTTTCATCACAAAGAAAGAATAAATATTTGAGAAGATGGGTATCTTTAACTTTATTTCAACAGTATATACATATTAAGTATAGTAACATATATTAATAGGTATATATTATATGATGTATAGTTTTATATTTTATATATCAGTTAAAATAAATAGATTTGTTCATTATTCAACCTGTAAAAAAAATTCTGATTCTGGGGCTGGAGGCTTAAGTGGTAGAGCACCAGCCTAACATGTAGGAGGGCCATGGATTCAAACTCCAGTACTGTCCCTCTGCCCCTCCCCCCAGTTTCAGTTTCTATCATCAAAATGTAGCCCACTTTTTCTTACTACCACGCCATTCCTGAACAAGTTTATTTTTAGTGTCTTCTTTTGGGCTAATGATAAAACATGAAGTAGACAAGAGCTAAGTTTGGAATATTCCTTCCAAACATAGCATTTTCCAAGCCTCTTGGAATAAATAGGTGTGTATGTTTTGGTGCCTTCCAAATTCAGATGATAATGGGTCTTAGATTAGCTGCTACTTGGAACCAGCACTGTCATCCCTGCCTCCCCCTCCCCTCTCTCCCACTCCCTCCTTCCATTACCATAGAAAGGTTAAGCATGTGATGTTTCTTGGTTGTTCAGGGAATTGTCTTCAAGACCAGACCATGAACAAAGGGCCAGTAGGTAGTAATAATGTGGCATGTGAAGCAGCTCATGTGAATGCTTTAATTGCTTGTTATTTTGCATGCTTTGAAGAATCAGTCTTTGGGGAATTTATAGCTCAGTCCAATTCTTGATGAATTCTCAACCTTTGGGGTCCAGTCTTCTACCAGTACTTTTCAACACAGCCAATCTGCTCAGGTGGTCAGAGGGTCAAACAGAAAGTTTCAGCAATGGGGTTTTGTTGGAAAGAAGTTACGATCTCTAGGATCAGAGAAATGTTAGGTTAACTATGACTTCCCACCGCTGTTTTACTCAAACATACACATACCAAGATGCATTTTATATTTAGAATGATTTTCTTTAATTTCTTTCTTAAAACAGAAGGAATCGGTCTTTTACAGGCTCAAGAATGATTCCTATAGGAAATTGTATATTCTGTACCAAGAAAAAGTTATTTTTTTCCCTTCCTCATAAAGTTTCCAGTGATCAATTTCAGTTTCCATCAGTGGAAAACAACCCAACAGGCTTACAGCAGAGGCATTAAAATTTGATGCTCAGAGAATGAACTTTGGAGTGTACTGAGCTTCGGGCTTTTGACTCTAGCTTTACTATTTGATTTCCATGACTATAGGCAAATTGATTAAGTGCTTTCAGCATCAGCTTCTCTGCCCTTAAAATGAGGATTCTTTCTTCTGAGGTTGGCCCTGACAGTTCAATGAGAGGAATGATAGAATCTGGTTGTCCTGTTGGCAATGTCAGGAGAGATGGACTTCAGAAGGTTTTGCTGAGAAAGAACGTGGCTCAGAAGGAGACTTAGGGTCCTCCTTGCTTCACAATTGAGTGATTTTTTTCTAAATTTCCAGAGTGTGACAATGGTGGCAGAGAGAGAAGAAGACCTACATTGTTTTTTATAAAACGCGTACATATATAAATACACACATATGCACACATACACACGCACACACACACACACACACACACACACACACACACACACACACATATGTATATTTGAAACCCAATGGATGGTTGGCAGCTGAGTTCTGAGAAGCTATACAAATGAACTCTGAACTTGAATTCCCTCTTTCAAGTGCAGAATCCAATACCTGTAGAGCATAGTGTCAAAAGCATCATCTGCATAGCAGGTTGCCCTGGGGTTTGGGTTTAAGCATAAATCGGAGAAACATTGTATACTTACGCTATTTTACTAGGCATGTAAAGGAGCACAGGAATGACAGGGGAGTGATCGTTGCCATAGGTAATGAATCCCATTTCCTTCAGTTTACCTCTGAAGTATTTTATATTTCTGTGAAGATTCCGTAATCTCTGCAATCCTGAAAGGAGATTAAATGAAACCTGTCAATTCCCACTGGGAAATTAAAAACAATAACAATAAAGGTTAGGCCAATTTGGCAAGTCTTTCTGTCGGCTTGCATGTTACTGGGAAGGTATGGTGGTAGTTAAAAAATCTCCCCAGTGCAGGCATTGTCCCTAAAACACAGAATGTACTAGGTGTCATAGACAACTAAAGTCAGGCTTGGCTGCAGGGCCAGTGGGAAAGAAAGAGGTAGCTGTTCTGTTTGGATACTGTGCTAGGTGCTTTAAACACCTAGGGAGAAGCCGGGCACCAGTGGCTCATCTCTGTAATCCTAGAACTCAGGAGGCTGAGATCTGAGGAGCACAGTTCAAAGCCAGCCCAAGCAGGAAAATCTGTAAGGCTCTAACTCCAATAAACCACCAAAAAAAAAATGGAAGTGGCACTGTGGCTCAAGTGGTAGAACACTTGCCTTGAGCTGAAAAGCTCAGAGACAATGCAGTGCTCAAACCCAGAGTTCAAGGCCCCATGACGGACCAAAAATAAAACAAAAAAACCCTCAACAACAACAACAAAAACAACAACTAGGGAGAGAAAAGTCTCCTCTCTCTCTCTCTCTCTTTCTTTCTGCCTCTCTCTTTCTCTCCCTCCCTCCCTCTCTCTCTCTCTCTCTCTCTCTCTCTCTCTCTCTCCCTCCCTCCCTCTCTCTCTCTCTCTCTCTCTCTCTCTCTCTCTCTCACACACACACACACACACACACACACGTCCATTAAATTTCTCCTTATGTAAGTCTCTAATCAAAGGACAATTCATCCCATCTGAATTCAAAGAAATAACATATCCCCAGAAAGATGGGTCTGGCTGACACCAGGGCTGTTTTGTGAAGCATTTGGTGGTGGTTGAGAGGGATCTCTGATTTCCTTAGCCAGAAAAAAGGACAATATTGGCTCAAAATAAAAGGGAAAGCAAGAATGGATGTTCATGTCAAGGTTATTGGTGCTTCAGATCAAAAGCTTCTCCTCTGTTCCCAAATGAGTGTCCTGGTGCCAGGGTCACACACATGAGATGATAAGAGGAAAGAAGAGAGAGAACTCCGAAGACACTGTTTACTCCAGTTCTGCCTCTAAGTGAGTAAGGAAAGTTATGAGTCCATTCTCAAATGAGAATGAGTGGGATTGAGCATTTTGGTCCTTTTGCATTTGGTGTACTGCTATTGATCAGCACAGTCATGTAGTTTCTTGAAGCTGAACTTCATTCTGATTGGTTAGACATTCATTCAAACTGGACAGAGGTGCTGCTGTAGAAGTTATTCAGTATTTTGAACACCACCACCATGGATGTTTATATTTCTCCAAATACAAAAAGGGTAAAATTTCTTGTAAACATGTTAATTGTGTTACCTAGTTCTCAAAAATTGGCTCCAGACTGTGTCTTGACAAAGGATTGAGTTATGACTGTCTTCTACAGTGGACCATGACATTTTAGTAAAGTTGATCTCAACTTTCTTCTTTACTACAATAAAAGCATGTGGCTTCTGTTTCAAAGATGGAATGTAACCTGGAACTATTAGACTTTCAGATCCAACCATGGAAAAAACAGAAGACAATTGAATCCTCAAGCTAGATCTTATGTCACTGTGTGGTGGGAACTTGCTTGAGAATGGGGTCAACTAAGATATAAACTAAGGCCCAAGCTATTGAGGGTCTAGGCAGGCATAAATTAGACCATCATTTGGACTTCCCTATTGTGTGAACCAATAAGCTTTCTCTTCGGTCACCTACAAGCAAATGTTTCCCAAGTATTTACAGTGGACAATGGCTTGTTCAGCGGGCCTAAAGGACAGCAATAATAAATGATTATAGTCCATATATATGTAATGTTATAAGTAGTGCTATAAGTACTTGATATTTTGTATTCACAACTACCATCCTATGTCAGCTGTGAGGGAAATCCAGGTAAATTAATTTCATGAAGTTTCTAGGTAACCAAGTTAGAATTCAGTCAAACAAATGAATACCATAGTGCTGTATCCTGGTAATGGATGTGATCATCTTATCTCAAATTTAATAAAACTCTCATCTCTGCCAGCTTTTCATATCATAATTATGCCATTGTTCTCTAGTAGACAGAGTTGAGAGGTTAAAGGCTGAGAAAGCCTTCACCAGTCTGATGTTATATGAGTTGAATAAGATATCAATGATTAAAATCTAAGGCCTGCTAAAGAAAGAACCTGGCAAACCCTGTCCACTGTAGATATCTGTAATGAAGGAGTAAGGGTGATCAAGTAAACTAAGTCAGTCTCTGACATGTTGAGGGATGGGCTCAGTCACTCTGCAAATACTTCAGATTTTCCTTTCAGAGCTTTACTTTGATCATTAGGCCCCAGTGGATTTGACCTCTACATCATAATTGTACTAACAATATATGTAGAGGAATGGAAAGATAACTGAGTGGAATATCAAGCAAACAGTGCAATACTGAGTACTCCAATTGTCCATATTGGTTTGCGGTTACAACTCCAGTTCTCAAGGAAGGTCTTGCCCCAACTCTGCCAGGTTACAGCAAACAGATCGTTATGGCAACTGTATCTGGTTTATTGTACTTTCTCAGGAAAAGTAGCATCCCGATCCCACCATCCTGGCCAAAGAAATGGATGGAGGATGCCCCTGACCTAAGAGAAATCCATCTTCACAAGAGAACTATGAAGTATTCTGTTACATGAGCCTCAACAAAGACAAAATAAATGCAAGTTGAATCAACCAGATCCTCTTGCTAACAGAGTGTGGACATGAAAACTAACATTTGATAGCAATGGCTGAAATTGGGTGACACACAGAGAAAAGTTTATCAGCAGAATCTAGGAGAAAGAGTGAGCCCTGGGCTGGTAGAAGCTATGGTAACTTTTGAAAAAGAGAGGCTAGTAGTGTGGAAACTAGTTGGTAACAATGGGAAGAGAAGATACAGAAACAAAAAAAGGCTGGTAGTCTAGTAGACAGGTCTATATTGATCAAATAATTAATATAAGACAACAACTCTGATGAGCACTAAAAGGAAAGGCTATGTGGTATTGTAAAAATTCACATTAGTTATTGATTAGAAAAGCGCCAGAAAAAACTATGTTACATAATGGAGATATTGTGATAGTGCTATTTATTCAGAGAAATGAATGAGAGCTAGGCAAGATGTGGTTCAGTATGAAAAAAAGATAAGATCAGATAAAGAAGAGATGTAAGTCTACAGAGCCTACAGGGACTGAAGAATTCAGCAGTAATGATTGGGCTGAAGAAGGTGAATTTAAAGGGGAAACAAAACAGAGTAATATGAGAGAGAGAGAGAGAGAGAGAAAAAGAGAGAGAGAGAGAGAAAGAGAGGGGGGAGTTTAATGTGTATGTCCTTTTTCTTTTCCCACCTACCCCCTTCAGAAAATAATACATTCTAGATTTGCAGTAAAAATATAAGGGATCTGAAGAGGCAGGGAACCATTCATATACATTCTGTTGTATGAGCAGCCTTCTTTTAAAATTATCTTCAAAGTAGTTGCACAAAGGAGTTGCCACTTAACAAAGCAGTTTATGAATATAACACATCTTGATCAATGTCACCCTTTTCAACATTCTCACTCTTCCCTACCAACCTACCCCCTCCCTTACTCTTCTTAATTTTGTAGCCTATACATTGGATTCTTGACTATATTCTCCCCTTCTTCTTGTCTTATAAAAAATCAACTCTTTTGTAACATGCCAAAATATCCCTTGGAAATGTATCGATGTATCAAGAACCAGGCTATCTGATATATACAACTAGAAATTAGGAAAGAAAATATGTGCTTTAACTTAAAAAATATTTGTTCATACATTGAAATTTGGTGCTTATTAACATAAGAAGATAAAAAGAGGAGAGAAAAAAGAGATAAGACCTGTGCTAAAATATGTTATGAAGGTGACTGAAAAGAAGGCAGAGATATACATCCTAGCTACCAAAATATATTCCATATGGCCTGTACCCCATGTGCTTGGCTCTTTATGTTGATCATTAGCTGCACAATGAACATATGACTTCATCAGACTGGGCCTGTTGATTTCTAAATGTTCTCCCTTAAAGACTAGAAGGATTTCCTGGCCTGGAAGTGCACAATTGATTTAAATTGCTTTTCCCAATGGCATTATCTTTGCACTTGCAAACACAATGACTCATCTATCATTGGACGTCCCAGCTACTTAATTGGCTCCGTCTGTCCCTCTGCCTTGATTAACCCAGGTAACTGGGTCATCAGCAATTGTCATCACTTTCCCACTTCTAGATCCTTTGGTGACTTGGCCAAACAGATGGTCATATCAGTTGCAGGATTATCTGACTTGTCAGGATGGAATGGTTTATCCTTGCCCTGTCGTTCCTATCTTTGAAGCAGTTCTTAGCTCAGCACGGTGAGCAAGCCATTATGACACACTTTGTGGTCGCCATGTTTTCTCATATAGGTCTCCATAAGTGGTTGGCCAAGATACAGTTCCTTTCAATTACTCTATTGCTCCTTCTCTAAAATTGGAAACATTTGTATTCTCACAGAGGGCCTGGGGGCAGAGGGGGAATTTGTACATATAAAACACTACTCATCTAGACAGGATGTGGGTGATTTTATTAATTACATTGTGCATTGAGATTATTGCCGGAAGTCTGTTTTGTAAAAGCAAGCAAGAATGCTTGTGTTTTTGTTGTGAAGGTTTTGCAGAGGCATGGCCACAGTAGGTCTGGAACCTGGGTACTATGGATATTGGGCATGATAGAGAAATACCCTATGAAATGCTAAAAGGGCCCCATTCAAGCACTTTCTGATTTTTCTTCCACAAGGCAACTCCCTACTCACAGAATTAAGTGAATGCCATAGTTTCTTATGTAAGCTTCTGGAAAGTTTGCAAGGTGCTTCTTTGCCAAATTCTGGGTTGAGTGTTGAGTTGGGGGGGGTAGACTTGAGGACGGGGGTGATGGCTAAAAGGATAGAGTACTTGCTTAGTGTGGGGTTCT